GCGCCCAAAATACAGATATGGAATTTCAAGCGAGTTTTCCTAGAGTCTTCTCAGGGCTAGTACTATCACTGAGAAGAATGCATTATAAGGAAAGGATGAAAGAACTACCTAAACCTGACGAATCTGACGGAGAGGACAAGTGTAGCCATGATTTCAATATACAAAAATCTTAGCGTAATTGGCAGTACACATAACAAACTGAGTAAAGATCAGACATCAGAACGGAAGTGAGACTAAGGTTGGGGACAATCCCTGAGTGATCAGTATTAGGGTCGAGATTCCTCAGCGACTACAAGTCAGCAACCTACCAGAACTGACCAAGTCTTACGCTTCAATGTTCACTGATATAATACTGAGAACAAAAACAAGAGAGGAGAGGGATAAACTAGAGTGACACCTGGACAATGTGGTTTCTAGAGTTCAATCCAAACAAATGCAAGGTCATACAAATTGGAAAAGATAAGGGTAGACCGGACACGCAGTACATGGTAGAGAAGCTCCAAATACAAGTGAACGCATGGGGCCGAGGGTGAATATTGGAAAAGATAAGGGTAGACCGGACACGCAGTACATGGTAGAGAAGCTCCAAATACAAGTGAACGCATGGGGCCCGAGGGTGAATAATTGGAAAAGATAAGGGTAGACCGGACACGCAGTACATGGTAGAGAAGCTCCAAATACAAGTGAACGCATGGGGCCCGAGGGTGAATATAACACCAAGCAAAGCATGTCGCCACGATTACCCGCAAACCGTATAAAGTCAACGGCATGTGCAGGACAAAGTATCCTTCAGAACTTTATAAACGATAAATGTTTGGCCAATCGCCTAGTAAGTGGTCTCATCATGGATGCCTGTAGGAGGCTTCCGGAGGTCAATAACTCCGCGGCGCGATCCTAAACCTGGCCTCCCGGTCGAACAAGGCCTGATTAACCAGGCTGTTACTCTTGGTCGAACGCAGTCTTAATCCTGGCTAGCCGAGCTGGCCAGGAACCGAGGAACTTGGTTAGAGCCTTCCTTAAGAAGGCCAGAGGTCTGCTAGTAATTCCGCTCATACAAGGAGGGGGGGGCTAGGTTAGGTAAGGTTCGTCAGGAAACAGGACAAGTGTTTCCTGCCGCGGGTCTTAGTCATATGATGACGCGTTTAACCCTTAAACTGTCCAAACGTAGATCTACGTTTTTTCAAGATTTGAAAGTGTGTAAAAAAACGTCGAGCTTCTTTTTCCTTTTTTACATGAAAACGTGTAAAAAACTTTCATCTACATTTTTTGTTATATTTAAAAATATGTAAAAAAAAAAATAGATCTACTTTTGGAGCACTACGCATGTGAACGTAGATCTGTTTGGACAGTTTAAGGGTTAACAGTAAGAGACCTCTAACACGAGCTCTCAGTGTACTTGTCGCGTCTCCTGCTTTTTACCGGATATACTTTTAACTGGCTGCCACGCCTCTTCTTTCACACAATGACTTAGTGTGCAGATCTGGAACCATTCCCTCCAGGATTTTCCAAGTTTAAACTGTGATGAACCTGGTTAAACATGTGGATAAACTTGAAAAAGTCCAAGTTTGTAACCAGACCTGTAACGGAAGCGAGAAAGACTGCTCTACGAGTGAAGTTTGAGGGAACTAATCCTGACAATCTTGGCGGAGAGAACGACTGGTGGAAACGTGATTAAGGCATACAAAACTCTTAAAAAAAAAGACTGATAAAGCAGATAGGGAGAGACTGTGTGAACTAAGAAGAGCAGAAAAAAGAACAGGTAGAAGCTAAAGAAAGATGAGTCACAGATATGAATTTCGATTTTTTTTTATTTAGTTTCATGATGGTCGAAAAACTGAATGATATCGACGAGGAAACGATGGACGGAAACTCGATACGAGTGAATAAGGCGAGACCGAAGAGGCTAGAAATCATTAATGCTGAACATAATAGTCCAGGAGGCGGGGTAAAACGCAGTTTTTTTTTTTGAAGCCAACAAAAGAACTAAATGAGTACCTACACACACAAAATAAATATATATATATATATATATATATATATATATATATATATATATATAATATATATTATATATATATATATATATATATATATATTTATATATATATATATGCAATAAGATCACAGTAAACAGGTGATTTCAGAATATGCAAAACAACCACTGTGAAAGAATAGAGAAATTCCAAGAGCTTTCATGACTACTCACATTATCAAGGAACAATGAAAGTAAAGCATCAAAGGAAGGTATATAAAGGGGTAGCCCACACCTCACTATCAGATCCCACAACACCTGACGCGAGACAGCAGGCCCGCCGGCCGAACTGGACAGGTCCTTCACACAACCTGGAGGTTATTCCGGGGATCAACGCCCCCGCGGCCCGGTCCATGACCAGGCCTCCCGATGGATCAGGGCCTGATCAACTAGGCTGTTACTGCTGACCGCACGCAGTCCAACGTATAAGCCACAGCCCGGCTGATCCAGCACTGACTTTAGGTATCT